ACGAAGAAGAAGGGGCAACCCGTGGCCGGCAGCGAGCGGCCAGGGGAGGAGGCGCTGCGGACGGTACGTGGGGGATGGTAGGCGGCTTCTACAGAGCCATGGGTGAGCACCCAGCGCCTGTCCTAGGGCTGGCCACTGCCCTGCAGCCAGGACAGCTCCCCGGAGCTGTGCCCCCATGCAGACTGGGAGGCTTTGAGGGCTGGGGGGTAGCACCCATGCTGGGACACCACCCCGCCCTCCCCCCCGAGGCTGTTTCCAAGAGAGCTGTTGGGGCTGTGTCGGTCTAAGGAGAGCGATGTTTGGCTGTGCCGATGCTGAGCGATTCCCGAGGGCTGAGGACCAGCTTGTGCCACCCCCTTTGCCTGCGCTCTCCTGCTGCAGCTCCTCGCCCACTCTGCCCTCAACTCTCTCTGTGTCTCTCTCTCCCACCGCTCAGCTCCCTGCCACTAAACCCTCAGGCTGTAAAACCTTTTGGAAGCGTTGCCAGGGGCTTTTAGGAAACACTTGGGGTAGTTTAAAGCGAAAGAGAAAACCGCCTCGCCAGCCGGTGGAAGAGGTAACGTCCCCGGGGGAGGCTGCATGCCGGGCAGAGTGGCTGCATGGCGTGAACCCGCCTGGCCGTGCCACCGTGCCCTGCCACCCATGGTCCTCCGGGAGAGGGGAAACCTTCCCAGTGCCATGGGCTCTGCAGAGCGTGGGTGCTGGGGCATGCGATGAGGGGGCTCAAATGTGGCGGGCTGCAGTTTGCCCCCCCCCCCACCCCCGGGTAAGTGCTTTTGGTGGCCACAGGATGCGTGGCAAGCTGTTGCTGGGGGGCAGCAGCAGTCCCTCGTGCAGCCGGCTGAAGGGGGAAGAGCTGGATGGGGCCATGCGAGGGTGCATGTGTTCGGGGGGGCATGCTGCGGGGTGCATGGCTTGTAACCCTAGGGCTGGGGGCTCAGCGTGTTGCTGGGGCTTCCATCCATCCATTGCCCCAGGCCCGGCACTAAGGGCTGTGTTGCAAGGAGCCCAAGGGCACCCAGGGCCAGACCCCCCGCTGTGGGGTCACACAAGGGAGAGGGCAGGGGGATGGAGATGCCAGAAAGCATCGAGACAGGGTGGGGGATTGCCAGGACGGTTGGGGGTAATGGGCGCCGTTCAGACGAAGGGGTACAGGGATATGCTCCTCTGGCTCCTGCGGGCAAACCCCTTCCCTTTTACCCTTGTGGCCTCGGAAACCTGGGAGAGGGGCTGCAGCTGAGCTGGAGAAGGGCTCTGCGGGAAGGAAAGGGACTGTGCTCATCCCCTGCCCTTGCCTTCACCTGCTCTGCTGCCTGGGGACGTGCAGGGGTGGCAGGGGCACCCAAAGGGGTGGCTTGAGGGGCAGCAGGGCAGAGGGACAGCCGTATGACCCAGGGACCCCCTGCAG